GCGCGCTACTCGGTCCCCGCAGCAGGCGCGGGCTCAGGGGGTTCGGGGGCGCCAGAGCCGCAGCCGCCAAGCGCCATGGCCGCTTCCTCCCCCGCGGCAGTGGGAGCTGCAGCAGCGGCTGCTCCCGAGTCCCGCTGCCTGGGGGGGAGAACAGCCGCCGCCTGGCCCCGCGGGCCGCCCCCCTACTCTCCCTCCAGTACCGCCCGACTGAGTCCTGCCTGCTCGGGGCCAGGCCGGACTCTTACTCACCCCGGCCCCGCGCTTCCCCTGAGTCTCCCGGGCCTCCCTCCAGCGCTTGCGGAGGAAGGTTTTTTTTGGCCCCGCCCCCCGCCACGCCCCCCCGCGTCACTCTCCCCCCCTCCCCCCGCGTCCCGATATTTGACTTGGGTGATCTGGTCACCCTATCCAATGCGCTTGTCCCCTTTACACTGACAGACACTGTCCTGTGAGTCTGACACAGAGATGGGCCAACGTGCCAGGTCTCCGAGAGGAAAGCGACTCAGAACAGGACTCACTCCAGAGTGGAGTTCACAGATGAAGCGAGGGATCTCTGCACCGCAGGCCCAGCGGGGCTCTGGGCAGGATGCAGAGACATTGCCAGGGAACGGAAGGGTTAAAACTGCAGGGAGGTTTGTGTTACATTCACCTGGTTGCCAGGTCTCCTGTCTGAGCGGGAAGCGGTGTGTGTGTCACTGCTGCCCCCGCGCAGCTGCCGGGAGAAGGGCGATTCCGCAGCCTGGGTTTTTGCATGATCACAAATTGGTTTTGTTGTAGAAGCAGCGGTAATCTGTATTCTCTGTATAACTGTGCTATGTATAACCTGTATATTCAAAAGGTCTGTTATACTTCCCCCCTCCTCCCGCTCTTGTCTCCTCTCCCTCTCTGAATGCCTGTGAAGTGGCTTTCCCACTCCCCCTCCTCCTCCCCTCCCTCCCTCCTGGAGATGCTTGTGGGGTGAATGGGCTGGTTGAACAGCTGCAAGATCAGAAGAGCTCCAGATAGACAAGATGTCTGGGACTCTAATTAGGCAGCGATCACACACCCAATGCATGGACACTGCATAGACACTGCCCGAGGTGGAGTGTGACCAACCAGACGCAGCCAAGTCATCTCTAGTCGCAGGCCATGAGGAGCAGGTCCTTAAAAGGAGAAGGGGCCATGTCCTCAGCAGTGCACTCACAAGCTTGTACCTCCCAAAAAGGCCCTTTGCCTGGACCGCCTGGCCAGTGGTTCGCTGCATTGCATTCCATCGTGCCTCGGGCAGACTTACCTTCATCACACCATCCATCGCTGCGCTGTGGGACACTTACCTTCAAGGATCCTAACATCTCCAGTGCCGTGCCTGTCCTGGGAGCGTGAGTATGCGAGTGTGAGTGTCACCCACCCTCTTCTTCTGAGCTTAGCTATCAGTATAATAAACGTGCTGCTTTCTGCCAAACTCTGGTGGGTCATTAGTCCTCCCTAAGCTTACTAGCTGGCCCAATTTCAGGTAACAGTTTCATTTCACTGTGTCTCGCACAGTAATAGCGGGCGGTGTCCTCTGCAGGACTGTCTCTAAGACACCAGCAAGCCAAGCACGTGCTTGGGGCGGCACATTTTCAGGGGCGGCATTCCGGCTTTTTTTTTTGCTTCGGGCGGCAAAAGCCTAGAACCGGCCTTGGCGGCAGCAGCAGCACATTGTGTGTGTATGCGGGGGAGGCTGGGGCCGCTGCGGTTCGTACCGCGGGGGAGCAGCACCCGCACCTTGTGACTGGGTCAGGCAGGCTCCAAGCGGGGGACACTCAGGCTGGGGGCCGCCCCGTGGGGCACACAGAGCTGCAGGTGCTGCAGGGTGACGCCCCCCCAGTGCCGCAGCCGGGGCTGGGCGAAGCGGCCCGAGCTGCCCAGGGAAAGCGGCAGGGTGGCCAGAAGCAGCAGGAGCAGTGGGGCCGTAGAGGGTGGGGCGCTGCCGTGCGGGGCCTGCGTCCTGCTCTTGGGGGCTCCGCTCCCTCTGGGCTACCCTGCCCTGTCTCCTCAGCCCCCTGCCGGGGTGGTCCCCCAGCTCTGCCCTCTGGGTCCCGGCTGGTCCTAGAGGCAGGAGCCCTGGCTGGAGGGACCCTGGGCTGAGACGCGCCCGGGAGCCCTGCTGCTTACCTGACCCTGCCAGCTGCTTACCCAACCCTGCCAGCGCAGACTGGCTGGAGGCGAGGGGGGAGTGGGCGGAGTCAGAACTGGTCGGGGGGGAAGCCCAGGGCTGGGGTCGGGGGCAGCCACAAATTCAGTCCCAGGCAGACTGCGAAGAGCTTCGAAAGGATCTCACAACATAGGCGGGGAGTTATATGGGCCTGTGGTGCCCGTGCTCCACCAATATTCAGGAACATGGGCCCAGGTCCACCAATGTTTGGGCTTATATTTAATCAGAACCGTCCCGTCCATAGGACGGACCAGGGCAACCGTTTCAGGGGGACGCGGGGTCCAGGGCAGTCTGGGGGAGGTAGCACGGGGCCTGGCACCGGCAGCAGCGGGGGCTCTGGCGCCAGCAGCAGCAAATGACCCAGCCCCAACCTGCCTGCTCCGCCCACCCCCACCCCACCGCTTTCCCCAAGCCCGCACCCTGCCTCTTTCCGGCTTCCTCCCCCGAGCGACACCAGGAGCTGGCGTGGCAGAGCTCAGCGGGGCGGGCTGGGGCTGGGTCACTTGCGGCTATCGGCGCCAGGCCCCCTGCTAATCCCCCAGGCCGCCCTGGACCCCACATCCCCCTGAAGCATGGAGCCCTGGGCAATTGCCCTGGTCAGTCCTATAGACTGGACGGCTCTGCTTGGACCCGTTCTGGGCACCACCAAAAATTATACAAGCCTGGGTGACTGGGCAAAAAAATTGCAGATGAAATTCAATGTTGATAAATGCAAAGTAATGCACATTGGCAAACATAATCCCAACTGTACATACAAAATGATGGGGTCTAAATTAGCTTTAACCACTCAAGAAAGAGACCTTGGAGTCATCGTGGATAGTTCTCTGAAAACATTCACTCAATGTGCAGCGACAGTCAAAAAAGCAGACAGAATGTTGGGAATTATTAAGAAAGGGATAGATAATAAGACAGAAAATGTCATATTGCCTCTATATAAATCCATGGTATGCCCACATGTTGAATACTTCGTGCAGAGCTAGTCATCCCAACTCAAAACAGTTATATTGGAATTGGAAAAGTTTCAGAAAAGGGCAACAAAAATGATGAGGGGTTTGGAACGGCTGCCATATGGGGAGAGATTAAGAAGACTGGGACTTTTCAGCTTGGAAGAGAAACGGCTAAGGGGCGATATGATAGAGTTCTATAAAATCATGACTAGTGCGGAGAAAGTAAATAAGGAAGTGTTATTTACTCCTTCTCAAAACACATGAACTAGGGGTCACCAAATGAAATTAATAGGCAGCAGGTTTAAACTGTTGGAAGGCAGGATACTGAGCTAGGTGGACCTTTGGTCTGACCCCATATGGCCCCTATTATGTTCTTAATGATGGCCATTGGGCTGGGGGTCTCTGTGCTACTCCAGCCCCATCGATCTCAGTGGGGATTGTTAACTCTGATCCCTAATGATGGTCATTGGGCTGCGGGTCTCTTTGCTACCCCAACCTCATTGATCTCAGTGGGGATTGTTGACTCTGAGCCCTAATGATGGCAGTTGGGCTGGGAGGGTCTCTGCACTAACCTGGCTGCATTGATCTCAGGGCAGGTCTACACTATAAATTTACTTAAGCGCAGCTGCGCCACTGTAGCACGTCTGGTGAAGATGCTTTAAGCCAACGGGAGATGTTCTCCCGCCGACACAGCCCTGTCTACACAGGGGGGCTAAGGTCAGTGTAACTACTTCGCTCAGGGAGCTGGAGCTCAGGGGTGTGGATTTTTCACACCTCTGAGCGACGTAGTTATACTGCAGCATGTAGTGTAGACGAGACCTCCGTGGGGATCAATAACTCTGTCCCCTACCAGTGACCACTGGGCTGGAGGTCTCTGTGCTACCCCAGCCCCATGGATCTCGAAGGGGGTCGTTATCTCCTGACCCTACTGATGGCCATTGCGCTCACTAGGCAACCCCCAACTGCTGTGAATTGGGCGTATTTACCCCCTTTGTTCTGTAACCTGGGTCTGGGGGGATCCCTGGGCATTTTCTCCCCCCTTGTACTACACCTCTGACCCCCTTCCTTGCCCGCAGCCCCCAGACACTGCCGTGGGGGGTGTCATCCTGCAGTACCGCATCCAGGACCAGACCTACAAGGAGACCCTGCAGTTCCCCCTGCAGCCACAGGATGGAGACAGGTGACAGCAATGTTCCCCTAGTCCCCATCCTCCCCACACCGCTGGGTCCTGCCCCCACATCCCCACCCCCAACAGAATAGAGATGGGAGGGGACCAACCCCAGGTCACAGAAGGAAACAGGGGTCCTGGCTCACAGCCTCCCTGCTGTGACCACTAGACCCCACTCCCCTCCTATAGCCAGAGATAGAACCCAGGAGTCCTGGCTTTCCCCCCCAAATACACTATCCCACTAGCCACTACTCCCCTCCACACAGTGGCTGGAACCCAGGCATCTGGGACTCACCCCGTGACTCTCTGTCCCCGGCACAGGCTGCCCGTTCACCGGCTGGCAGCCAAGTCGCTGCTGCTGGAGCTGGAGGGGGCCGTGGACACCGGGTCGGAGCGGGACCTGCGCCGAGCGCTGGAGACCAGCCTGAGCTCGGGGGTCATCTGCTCCCTCACGGCCTACGTGGGGGTGGACACAGAGCTGGGGCAGCCAGTGCAGGGGCCGCTGGTGAGACGGGACATCCCGCTGAGAGGTAACCCCAGAGGGGTCGGGGATCCCGGCACTGGGGGGGGATCAGCATGGGAGGGGCTCAGGTGGGAGGGGGACCCAACCTGGCACTGTGGGGGGAACCTGGCACCGGGGCGAGGGAAGGGGGAGGGAATTATGGGAAGGATCCCAGAACAGAGGGATCCTAGTGTGAGAGGAGGGACTCAGAAGCATTGGGCGGGGAGGGGCATCATGGTTATGGGCTAAGGTCCCTTGGCTCTTCTCCCTGCCCTAGCTCCCGTGGGGCTGTGCTGCCCCCTCCCTGCCCCCCCAGGGCGACTCCAGTGCCCCCGTCCCCAGGGCAGGGGGAGAGCGGCGGGCACTGGCCGGGTGGTACGAGGAGCCGCCCTTGGGGCCTGGCCCATCCCAGCCGGGAGAGTGGGGCCTGTGAGATGTACAGACAGACAGATGGACCCAGAATCGGAGACCCAAACAGACGGGGGCAGAGACTGAGAATCAGACAGTCGAACCCAGACAGAGAAGCCGACCCCCACAGGCAGGGACCGGAGGGGCCGGCGCATCGCTGTCGAGAGCAGGCCTGGCTAGCGGGGGCCTCTCGCCCCCCCCACAGCATCCTGCCCTCATCCATGGGGTGCAGCACCTGCCCTTGTGTCCCCTGGGGCTGGATGAGGGGGCCAAGCTGGGGGAAAGCTGCAGGGGAGGAGCTGGATCCAGGGGGTTCCAGCTTGCGGGGAAGGGGCTGGGGGGATATCCTGACTCTGAGGGAGCTGCGGGGAGAGGAGGATGGGGCTGGGTGTCGGAGGTAGCCAGCTGGGGGGCTGTGTGTTGGCTCTGGGTGCCGTGTGGGGGGGGATTTCCCTTCCCTCTCTTAGCTTGTCTCTATCCACATGTCTGCCTGTCCCTCTCTGTCCGTCCGTCTACCCCCCAGGCTTCGGAGCCGCACTGCGCATGGCCATGTGCTATTCCGCCTCTGTGCCCATGGACAATTTTGTAAAGCCCTCCTGTTGCTTCACCATGGACTGCGACTCTGACGACAGCTCGGATGTGCCAGGTGAGAACCGCCGCACCCGCCCCTCCCCCACCGGGGCACTCACCCCCAGAGCTCCCCATGGCCAGTACCGGCTATCTCCTCCCCCGGCACCGCTCCTCCTGGCTCCCTCGCCATCCCAAAGCTCAGCTGGGGGAGCCCCTGACACGAAGGCAGGAAGTCCTGCAGACATGGTGCCCCGCCGGAGACCGTGCCCCAGAAAGGTGAGGGGGGCAGGGGCTGGCAGTCAGGACTCGGGGAGGGTGGCAAACACCAGGATGACGCTTCATCGGGTCAGAGACAGACGTGCCCTGACGGTCCCGGAGCTGGGCAAGTGTTTAACAGCTACATAGAAAGTGAAGGAACTTCCTGGGCAAAACACTGGTGTGACGCTGGGGGAGGGGGAATCCGCAGCTGGGTTTTTTAAGTGTCGGGACGCAAATGATCTTGCAACAAAATGAAAAAAATAAGGATACTCCCAGGCAATAAACTTTGTGAAGCTGGAATTTGCAGGGTGAGTATGTATCAATGAGCTAAGTGTGGGGACGGCCCAACTGGGCAGCGGAGGGGGTAATCAGTCACTTTTTAGTAACAGAAATGTCGCTGAGCAGTTTTCTCTGAAATAGAAACAGCTAAATTCCCAGACAAAAATACCTTGTGAAGCTGGGCCCAAGCTTGGATGTTTGTACAGGTGAGTTCAGGGGCACAGATCGTGCTTGGCACGGTCTGGTTTCTAAACAAAGAAGCCCACGAAAGGCAGAATTTTTAAAGTTAAGGCTACCCTTAAAACCTGAATTTCAAGAGTCTGCTGTAGCCCAGGTAACCTTAACTCTGTCTCATAACCCTGGCCCAGGCATGGCTATAATATCATATAGACTGTGTAACATCCCGTCTCCCCTATACCCTTAGACGCTTCTGTGTCTCCCCGGACATAGGTCTGTATCGCAGGTTGTAGTGCGGGATGGTCCCGGGGTCAGATTGTGTTTGAGAAACACCCTGGGGTTGTGAGATTAATGACTGGGGCTGAGACATTCATGGAGCCCAAGGGACTTTGGGTCCCAACTCCAGCTGCAAATTAGTTGTCATCCCATGGGTGCAGAAAGGGGCAGAGTTAAGGGTGCCCACGGAGAGGTTAAGGGTGCACAGGAGCAGATAAGGGATGCCTATGGATGGGGCAGTATTCAGGATGCCCATGGAGTGGCAGAGTTAAGGTTGTTGGCTGTCCCCTAGCCTGGACAGGCCATGTTTCTGTTCTGTATCCATAACCCTGTGCAAGAGCCATCTCTTCCCTAGAGCGGGCACCGGAGGAGTCTCCCCTGCTGAGGCTGGTGTCTCTGCAGAATGCTGACGGCTCGTGGGACCTGGACCCCTGGCTGACCACTGCGTTGGGGGTGAGCGAGACCGACGCCAGGGGGAGGATGCCCAGTAAGGTGAGTGCAGGGGACGGAGGAGAGGGGAGAGACAGAGGGTGGGAAGGTGCCATGAGTTGGGCCTGTTCTCTGCTCCTAGATGAGACTGGGTGTGACCCAGACTGAGGGGTCAGGATCTGAGAGCAACTGGATCAAATGACTCCTAAATCTGGAGCCCAGTGGGGGAGATGTGCCCACAGCAGGGAGCTAAGAACCCCCTTGAAGGGGATCTGAGGATTGGATCCTGGGGGCCCAGGGCTGTGGGGGACATGGGGAGGCCCAGGCTGGGTCCTCTCTGAGGCTGTCTCCCTACCCCAGGGCCTCCCACCGGGCATCTCGGTAGGGGGTCCACGGTGCTAGAGTGTGGGGGGGCTGGGAACCCTCTGAGTCTGGGGAAGGGGTGGGAATGCTGGATTGGGTGGTCCCCAGGGCAGGGGAATGGGGGTAGCATTGGGGGGGCAGAGGGGTCCCTAGGGCATGGGGATGGGGGCAATGCTGGGAGGGGTGCCGGGGGGTCCCAGGGCGGTGGGATGGGGGCAGCACTCGGGGGAACAGGGGCTGGGCGCTATCTCAGGCTGTCTCTCTCACCCCCGCACAGGACATGGCCCCGGCGTCTGGGCCACGGTGCTGGCCTTGGTCTGGCTGCACTGCCGGGCAGCGTGACGAGTGGGAGCTGCTGGAGGCCAAGGCTGTGGGCTGGGTACGGGGCCAAGCAGGTGAGAGGGGAGTGGGGGGTTGGGGACAGGGCCCAGTTCCTTGACCGTAGAAACCCTGCCCCATAGCCCAGCCCCCCCCCCCCAAGATCCCAAAAACCCACAGTACCAACCCTACCCCATAGGAATCCACAGTCCAGCCAACCACAGCCCTGAGATCCTGCGCCCCATGGGTCCCAGGGCCCCCGGCATCCTAACAGCCTCTGGCGCCCCAGCCAGATCCCCAGAGGCCTCCAATCCCAGGACAGACAGGCTCCAAGCCCCCTGCTCCCCAACCTCAGTCCCCCAGGCTGTGAGCTCTCTGCCCTTTGTCCCCCAGTCCCTCGGCTAGTGTCTTCTTTCCCCTCCCCCTCACCCCCCAGTTCCCCAGGCTGATGTCTCCCCTGACCCTCTTCTCGTTGCAGGGCCCCAGCTGAGCGAATGCCTGGAAGCTGCCAACACCCTGCTGGGCTGCAGCGTTGGCCCTGCTGTCTTTGGGCTCTGAACACCGCCCCACCCCTCCCGGCTACCCTGGGCCTCCAACTCAGCTGAGCCCCCGCTGATCCCCATACCTCTCCCGCAAGCTATCCTGGGCCTCAGTCCCGCTGAGCCGAGCCCCCCCCCCCCCCTTCCCTCCCAGGGATCCTAAATTAAGAGCAGCCAGTTGGTTTGCATAAATTTAACGAAAACAGTTTAAATTGACCCTGTAACTTACAGCGGAGGAAGGTCGTTGTGCAGACAGGCCCTTGGTGCTGCGGGCGGAGACTGTCTCTGCCAGCCCCTCGCTGGAATAAAGCAGTTCCCCAGGTTTGTCTGCCTGGCTTTGGCTGGGGTCCCGGGGCTCCGAGCTCCCCACAACTGCCCAGGGCACTGGGTTCCCAGCAGGGTCAGGGACTGCCTGCCCTGAGCGGGTGGATTAGCGCTCCCAGCTCCAGCTTTCTGGTGGGGCATAGCAGCTGGACCCAGACACCAGGGCGGCTGACTGGGGCCGGGAGGAGCCCCAGAGAGCAGGGAGCACGTGGGGTGCAGGGGGCAGACACGGGGCATGGGCCCAGGGCGGGGTTTAGCAGGACGTTTTAGCTCTGGGCCTGTGTGGGTCCCTGACACCCCCTCACTGGTCTCTGCTCCACCAGGAGAATGAGCTGCCAAGCCCGGAAAATCTGTCATAAGAACATAAGAAAGGCCGTACCGGGTCAGACCAAAGGTCCATCTAGCCCAATATCCTGTCTACCAACAGTGGCCAAT